GATACCCCCATCAAGATACAAACTTCCCTCAGTGTCTTGTTGGCACCTTACCTTGTTTCGCTCAGCTCTGTAGGACACTGTCTTGTTTATTAGTCTGTTTCTTGTCTGTCTCCCCATCTACAATGGAAGCTCCCAGAAAACAGAGATATCATCTGTCTTGTTCATTTCTGTATTCCTCATATTCAAGACATCCTTCTTGGTTGCACTGAATGAATGAATGGTCTTTTCCATCTGTATGAGCACATAGCCCCTGGCTTCTAACACTGCAAACTCAGCCAAGGTATTCTGTGGGGTTAGGCCTTGCCCTCCCCTCAGTGGAACGGAATTCAGGATGCAGGTACCCCTGGCGTGAGTAACAGTCTTAGTCCCTCGGCCTCTGTGGGAATGAACATGTCAGAGCTCTTTCCTCTACCTGGCACTTTGCCTCATCACTTCCACATCTTACACTCGCCCAGTCTGAGCGCACCATCTTGGAGAGTCATGGTCAGGGAGATCAAATGCAGTCCAAAAGCCAAAAGTCACTTACGTTAACCTTGGAGCGTTCAGGTGACGCATGAGTGTGTGAGCTAGAGTTTGTGTGCACGAGGAGTACCTTTCAAAATCGATTTCTGTTTAGGCAGAAAGTCCTGACAGACACCTTCCCCCTGAAATCATGAAGGTCTTTAAAAGCCAATCTCCAGGAGGTGGCGACTGTGGAGGCAGAGGATGAGGTGGCGACTGTGGAGGCAGAGGATGAGGCCGACGCCTCCTCGTGGTACCTTCTGGCTCTGTGACTCTATGAGGATTTCGTGGTCATTGCCCCGCCTGAGTAGTAGCTGAGTGTGGCTGCCCGGCTCCTCGTCCCAGGCCCAGCCCTGACAAAGATTTGGGGCTAAGAAAGACGGGCTCATCTTTCAAACTGGGTGAGCCTGAGGGTTAATGAGAACGCGAAAGGCAAGCTCCGCAGAAGGCCTCGTTCCAGGCATTCGGGCTGTGAGCGCTGCCGGCGGGTTTGTCACTCGCCCATCAAGGTCGGTGGTTTTAGGGCGCCCTCTGGTGGTCCAGACGCTGTGCTACTCCCACTCCCCCCCACCTCTTCTGAGCAGCGGCCGCCCAAGTGGGGTGGGAGAAGGAAAGACTACAACCTCTATTTTAACTGAAATAATTGAATTTTTTGAATCTTAAAATTAGTGACATTTTGACCTTGGTGGTTTGTTTGTCAGCCTCGTATCACGTTGCATAAGGTAAGGGCGGAGGGGTATCCTGGGAGCACATGAGAGCCTCTTAACCTGAGAGAGGCTGCTTGTGATGCCTTCCCTGGCTCAGTGTTTGGGAGATAAAGCTTTTGACACATCCCTGGTGTGTTTGATGCTTTCTTAGCTAGACTGCTCAGGTTAAAATCTTTGTTGCACTATTGTGAGCCCTGGATTACTCTCTACCCACCTCCATTTCTTCATCTGTTTAATGGAGATAATATTAGGATCCATCTCATGGGGCTGCTACAGGCATTAAATGCCTTTAAAATGTTTAGAAAAGTGCCTTGGTGGGGACTGTATAGGTGGCAGCAACTATTATTTTTTAGTTTTACCTAGACTAAAACTCTCGCAAAAATCCTAAGGGGCTTAAAAATTACTGCAAAAAATTTGGACTGAAGATAATATGAATAATGCAAATGCAAGAGGTTCAGAAGATGGACCATTAAAATTAATGATATATAAAAGCACATGTATATAATTAATAAATAAGTACTAGCACATATTAAGAATGCTCACTGAGTGGGTGTCCAATCTGAAAAGCTTGGGGACCACTGGTTCTGAGATGGATGGGGGTGAGGGATCCCCAATAGATGTGTGGGCTTCACCCTGTGCATCTCCCTTGATTCGCTCAGCTGCCCTTTGGGCTGGCAAGGGCTTCAGGGTCATCTTTCATGTGGGGACACTGAAACATAGACAGGTCGTCAGGCTTGTTCACAGTTACATGATGTGGTCACTGGCTGAGCCAGGCCTCTTGACTGCAAAGGCTGCTGGTTTTCACACGCTTCTAGATCCTTTCCATGACAGTTAACCTTTTATCTGCCCCATTCTCCTTGAATGTGCAAGAGGAGGACTATCAGCCTTTGCAACTTACCCTTTGGCTACCTTCTGCCCCCCTCCTACTCTCGTCTCTAAAGGATACGCAGGTTTGGAACCAGGGGAGCTCAGGGCTGGGTCCTGCTCTGATCTTTATTGATTCTGTCATATCCAGGGTAGAGAATGTCTTGCATAGTTTTTTTTCCTGGTCAGAGCCACTTTCATGGGGTTTTTCTGCCATTCTGGACCACAAGGTGGCTGTTGTACTTCTTAAGCCATGTCCAAAGCAGTTGCCAACAAGTAGGTATGAAGTTGCACACGATTAATGAAAGACTCCTTTGTTAAGTAAAAGTTTGTCTGTCTGAGTCAATCTCCAACAAAAGTCATTTCCAAAAAGCCAACTTGTAATGGTTTTATAGGACAGTTGCTTGGACTTCAACATAGACTTCTATTTCAGGAGTTCATTCAAATGTATAATGAGGGACTGGTCGAACATCTGCCACATGCCAGACACTGTTCTAGGTGCTGAGGATACCAGCTAAAGATACAGAAGACAGACAAGTTCCTTCCTTGCTCAGAGCTTACATTCTAGTGGAGAAAGGAGGAATAAAAATATTAACCACAAGTCACAAATGTGGCCATTGAATGAATATGCTCAGTCTTCATCCTCCCTGTATCCATGTGCCTGCCTGGCCTCATTAGGGGTGAAGGACACTTCGCCACAGCTTGACCTCAGGCTTAATCATAAAACTTGGTTTGGCCAATAGAATGTGAGTAGAAGTGGCAGTGTGTCCATTTTGAGCCTAGATCTTTAGAGATCTCACACATTTCTGCTTGCTCTATTGCTCCTCTGCTGTTGTCGTGAGAAAAACATGCCCAGCCTGGTCCCAGTGAGACGATGAGGGACACGTGAATCAGAGCTGCCGCAAACTGTCCCACAGCCTTCCCATGATGGAGCATAGCTGTCCAGCTGAACCCAGACTAGATTGGCTGAACCCCAGCCAACGTACAGATGTCAGCAATAATACAGGATTATGGTTTTAAACCATGGAGTTTTTTTTTTTTTTTTTTTTTTTTTTTTTTGTGAGGAAGCCCAGCCCTGAGCTAACATCTTACACTAATCCTCTTCTTTTTGCTGAGGAAGACCGGCCCTGAGCTAACATCTATTGCCAATCCTCCTCCTTTTTTTCCCCAAAGCCCCAGTAGATAGTTGTATGTCATAGTTGCACATCCTTCTAGTTGCTATATGTGGGACGTGGCCTCAGCATGGCCGGAGAAGCGGTGCGTCGGTGCGCGCCCAGGATCCGAACCTGGGCTGCCAGTAGTGGAGGGCGCACACTTAACCACTAAGCCACGGGGCCGGCCCCTAAACCATGGAGTTTTTAGGCAGTTTGTTACACAGCAACAGCTTACTGATACAGGTGCTTTGAAGGGAACAAGGAGCTGAGATAGATACAGATGAGCAGAAGAAACCTACTTTAGGCCTGATAGTTTGGGAGGGTCTGGTGAGAGCTGATGTTTGGCTGGGACCTGCAGGTTGAGAAGGAGCTTTCCACATGATGAAGGGTGGGAAGTAAGAACAGACAAGGTCCTGAGGCTAAAAAGAACTTGTGTTTCAGAAGCTGACAGAAGACCTGGGTGGCTGAAACAGAGTTAGTCAGGGGAAGAGGGGCCAAGATGATGTTAGAGAGAGGTACAGAGCTTTTGAGGCAGTGTAAGGAGTTTGGATTTTATTCCAGATACAATGGGAGGCCTTTAAAAGGTCTTAAGGAGAGAGAGAGATTGATTTTACGTTTTTAATAGACCATCCTTGTTCCTGTGTGACTAGAAGCAGGAACGCCAATTTGGAGACTGTTGCAGACATCCAGATGAGATGATGGCAGCTGGGACCATTTGGCAGTGGTGGTGCTGAAAAATGAGTGGATTAATAGTGCATTTTAGAGTAGACATCATAGGACCAAGACTTCTGGTTTGGGGTATGATGGAAAACTACCATCAGCTATCAAGTCCCCTCCCCAAAAAACCATTCCTGGAAATCCAGAGGAGAGAAAGGAAGGTAGATGAGATGATGGATATGTATGTGGCATTCGAAGGAGAGTGCAGAAGTCACAGCGGCGGTGTAGTAACTGGTATTTGTTGAGCACTTCCTCTATTCTAGGCACTGCCCTAAGCACTCGACCTTCTCACACGCCATGAGGTAGGTCATCATCCTCACTTTACAGGTGAGGAGATGGAGACGCCATGAGGATCAGTGACTTGCTCAAGGGCACTCACAGCTGGTAAGAGGATCAGAGTGATCTGGGGTTCGGCACAGTCCCTGTGTTGGCCATGCCCCAGGGGAGGACCCAGGAAAATGGTGCAGTAGCTTGCAAGGCTTTCAGAGGTCCCTTATTCAGGTCTGTGCAATACCCCCTGACACTGTGGCACCATCCCTTGGATACTTGGATGCTCAAGGCCCCTGAGCACCTCTCACACATTGTCTTGTGGCATAAATCTTTCAGGATCCTTGTCTACCCATCCCCAACCCTAAGTTGCAAACTCAGCTGTGCTCCCATCTCTGGATGGTGGCTGAGGCACCTGAGAAATCTCTTTCTTGGCTGATAATCTTAGCACGCATGGTTCCCCAGAGTCAACATTTGCTTTTTAACAAGAGTTCAGTTTTAAATGCATATAGAAAAAGTCAAGTTTTTTGAACCCAGTTTTATGCCTCTTTTGAGATCTAGAAAGTCAAATTCTGGGGCTGGAGGCAGGTTTGGTGGTGACGAGCATGGGGTTCTCTTAGAGCTTTAAGACATAGTCCTCGGGCAGTGGCTGGTTCTCACACGGGTCCCCCCACCGCAATACAATGAGCTCCTGGGCCAGCTGCGACTTGTCCCCTGGGAACCTCTTGATTTTCCTCTGGCTCTTTGTTCAATTTCCTTTCCTGCCAGCTCCCATTCTTTCCATCAGCAGGAAGAGATGACAAAACCCGGAGCCAAAACTTCCTTCAGCTGACCCGCAGCGTGCTGGGGACATCTCTGAGACTTGCAGAGAACAATGGAGCTCTCGTGGCGCTCAGGAGAGCCTGTGGGTCTGCTTCCTCTGAACCGTCTTCATCCTCACCTGCCGTTTTTGCTGGAGCTGTTCCCCTTCATCCCCATGGGTTGTTGCCTGTTGGAGGCTGTGCCTTAGGGGGCTATGAACATTCTTGTTTGTCTTCTGGAGGACCTGACACTCCTTTCTCTTAGGTCTGTACCTAGGACTGGAACTGACAGCCTGTCTCTGAAGACTGGTAAATTGAAGTCTGCAGGATTCTTAGGCCCGTCAGCCATTCTGCAGGTGGGCAGAGGGAGAGTCAATGTTGGCTGCGTATCTGAATGAGCCGCTCCTCCTGGACTCCTGGCAGCCTCTGCCCCACCTGTTCATTCAGTGTCTGAGGAAGATGCCCCAAGAGGGCTGGAGCCTCCTTCAGAGCTGCGGCCAGACCTTCTCAGCGGGATGGTCCAGTCCAGCCCTCAGCCAGGCCTGGCCAAGGTTTCTTGTGAACTGGAAATGCCTACACGAGAGAAGGAGGTGCCCTGGCCGGGTTCTCTTCTCTGAAAGCATGCGGTACATAAAAACAGAGAGGAAAACAGGGGAATGAGCGGGGGTGGGGTGGGGGGTGGGGGGAGGTGTTATGGGACCGGTTATATGACCTGTAAGTGGAAAGCACGATCGGAGACCCCAGGCTCTCCAAACCTCTGGCAGGGCATCTGGGGCCAGGAATGCCAACCTCCATGGTCTTGTTTTGGGTGGGGAGCGGGACGATGCAGAGCCAGGTGGATGCCCCTACACCAGGGCCATGACCTTCAGTTGAAGACTCCAGCCGCAAGGGGTGATCTTCCAACCTCATTGATGAAAATTATAAAAATACTGAAATTTATTAAAGGGAGGCGACAAGATGTGGAGGTTAAAGTGTGGACTTTGAAGCCAGACTGACTGCCTGGGTCCCCTGCTTACTGCCAATCATGCCTAGTCCCCAGGCCTCAGTCTCCCCTTCTGTTAAACGGGGATAATTATGGTGGCCGCCTGATAGGGTTGTGAGGGTTAACTAAGCCACAGGTGACTTCTTGAAACACGGCCCGGCTCAAACTAAGCACTCGGATGCTACCCGTTATTTTTGAAACTTTGAAAATAATAATCAGCATCTCTAGTTGTTAAATAATTTGATTTGTGTCTTCATTTTTCATTGTGAACTTTTTATTAAAATCATCACAGATCAGCAGAAGCAAGTAAAGTGCATAAGAGGATGGGTGGATATAAGAAGGAATGTGTAGTTTAATTAAAACCTAAAACAGAAAAGCAGCCTTCCACATGTCTGCCCCTTAGGCTCCCAAGTGGACAGGGCAGTGGCCACGCACCCTGGACCCTGTGCTTGGCCTCCAGAAACAGCAGACGTCCAGGGTCTTTTTGGGGCTGTCCCTTCTTCCAGGTCCCCCGGCCTCACCTTCATCAGCATCAACAGCGTCACTGACGAGGAGACACTAATCACGGGAGCTGCCTGGAGCCACTCAGGCCCTCTCCCTGGGTAGCTGCCTTAATGTTTGGTTGCTATTTTTAAACTCACTAGAAGGAATCAATCCACACCTCAGTCTTGGCCCCTCACTACTTCCATCCTCTTAGAATCTGGAGCTGGAGGGACCTGGGGCTCATCTGGTGGCTCCCTTGTCCTCTGCTGCAGGAATCCCCTCCATTGCACCCTGACAGAGGCAGGGGTGCTCGTGATGGGAGCCCCAGGTTTGGGGGTGACTCCCTGCCATTGCCCTGACACTCCCCCTGCACTGGAGCCCCTTCTCCGCTGCTGTCTAGGCCCTGCCCCGCCCCTGGCAGACCCCAGCTGTGCCTTCTGGGGTGGCACAGGGGCCCCTCCCTCCCAGGACAGGACTGAGAGTAGCTCCTATGCCTCCTCAGTCTGATCCTCGGCCACCCCCGGGAAGGGAAATGTGGCCCTCAGAGCCACCTTCCAGGGATCCAGGTACTCAGACAGAGCAAGGAAAGGAGGTCCCACACTGTCCTTGTGTGTCTTCCCCCTCCCCAGACCCCACCTCCCAGGGCAGGCACTAGCCGCAGCCCACTAAGGTTGAGGTCTTCCTGACACCCAGGACCAGCCACTTAATTCGCTGGGCCCAGTGCTAAATGAAGATGCAAGCCCTTGTAAAAAATTATTAAGAATTTCAAGGTGGCAACAGCAGAATATTAAACCGAGTGCAGGGCCCTTCTGACAGCTGCACAGGCCACATGCCTGTGAAGGTGGCCCTGAGGACAGAGGTGTGCCCTGCTCATTGCGTTGTTCTGGGATTTCTGAAGCTCCCTTCATGTTTGTTTATTTTGTTTTTTTCTTGGAGATATAATTCACATACTATAAAATTCACCCTTTTAAAGTGTACAGTTCAGGGCTGGCCCCATGGCTTAGCGGTTGGGTGCTCGTGCTCCGCTGCTGGCGGCCCAGGTTCGGATCCAGGGCGCGCACCGACGCACCGCTTCTCGGGCCATGCTGAGGCCGCGTCCCACATACAGCAACTAGAAGGATGTGCAGCTATGACATACAACTACCTACTGGCGCTTTAAGGGGAAAAAAATAAATAAATAAAATCTTAAAAAAAAAAATAAAGTGTACAGTTCAGTTGTTTTTAGTATATTTACAAAGTTGTGCAACTGTGATCACTATCTAATTCCGGAACATTTTCATCACCCCAAGAAGAAACCCCATGCCTGTAACAGTCACTTCCCATTCCTCCCTCCCTTCAGCCCTCGGCAACCACTAACCTACTTTCTGTCTCTGTGGATTTCCATATTCTGGACATGAGTCATACAGTACGTGGCCTTTTGTGTCTGGTGTCTTTCACTTCACATGTTTTCAAGGTTCATCTATTTTTCAGTCCTTTCTATGGATGAATAATACTCCATTATGTGGATAGGCCACATTTTATTTATCATTCCTCTGTTTTAGTATTTCCTTTTGAAATCCGATCTCCACACCATGCAGCAGGTACAGCCAAATGACTCATTTTGTAGTAATTATCCCATTTTCAAAGACTCACACATTTCCTCCCTTTAACTTATGTTTACTGATATATAGCTCATATATAGTAAAGGGCACACATCTGAAGTGTGTGAGTTGATGAGTTTTTACTTCTGTCTATACCTGAATAACCACCACCCAGCTGCAGATACGGAACATTTCATGCTCCCATCCGGCTGACTCAGGACTCCTCCCAGGCAACACCCCCTCCTCCTCAAAGTCCCTATGCTGCTTTCTATCATCTTAGATTAGTTTTGCCTATCCTTGAACTTCACAGAAATGGAACCACATTGTTACCGCACAAAATTGGGGTTCTCTGCCTGATGCACATGAACAAGCCAATTAATTATGGCATTAGCATTTGATGGGAGAAATCAGCTTTTATTCTGTGAGGTCAATCTCCAGGGAGACAGAGGGCATGTGCCCTCAGGTCTGTCTCCCCAATTCAGGTTTTGGGACAAAATTTAAGAGGTTAGGGAGAACAGGTTGGCACATGGAAACGCTAGCGGAACAGGTTTTGATTGGTGGGCTTCAAGTATTTACAGTAAGGTTCTAAACATTTATGATGAGGTTCTAAACATTTTTGCATGAGGTGGGGAAGGAATTTTAACACCGGATCTTCCTGAATGAGGGACATCTCGCTTCTGATAAGAGTCTGGCTGTCAAATTCTGGTGGTGTCGTGGTCCTTGGGTTCTGTAGAAGGAGGATCTTTGGTTCCAAGGTCGTTTCAGGTCACGATTTCCTCTTTTGCGCATGCCCTGGCTCCGTGACTTTGCAGTTTTTCTGAGAGACAATCCTTAATCACTCTGTTGATAAGAGATGAGGTCTGTCTGAACTGGCTCTAAATGGGCCCATGGTTACAACACAATATGTACTTTTTTGCATCTGACTTCTTTTGCTCAGCAATAAGTCTGTGAGATTCATTCGTGTTGTAAGTGGCAATAGTTCTTTTTGGTTGCTGTATCGAATTACATTGTATGGCTATACCACCGTTTATCTATTCTACTGTCCATGGACATGTGGGTTGTTTCCAGTTTGTAGCTATTGTGAATACAATTGCTATGAACATTTTTGAATGTGTCTTTCAGTGGCCATAAGCCCTCACACTGTTGGGTATCTACCGAGTGGTGGAATTGCTGGGCCTCAAAATAGGTGCCTGTGTAGCTTGAGTGGATACTGTCCAAGAGTTTTCCAAAGTGGGTTGTGCCAATCCCACCCACATGAGAGGTCTAGTTGCTTGACATCCTCATCAACATTTGATAATGTCAATCATTCTGGTATGTAGTAGTATCTCATTGTGGTTTCAATTTGCATTTCCCTGATGATGAATGAGACTGAGCGGTTTGGCCATTTGGATATCCATCCATTATTTTTGAGTCATATTTTTCTTCAGAGCCTGGCAAAGGGATAACGCCTTTCTTTTTCTCTGAGTTTTCTTGAAAATTCGCCCACGTTAGTTTATATTTAATTACACAAGTAGTATATGATTCCATTTTCATTGTTTTCTCACGCTAAGACTGACTATCACTAGTCCTTTAAACTGATGGGGGCAAACAATTTTATTGATATTTTAATGAACGTACATTTCTCTGATTGTTAGTGAGATGAAGCCTTTTTTTCTTATGTTAATTGGCCGCTTGAATTTCTTCCACGTTTTGCCTTTTCATATCCTTTGTCAAATTTTCTAGTTGTTTATCTTTTCCTCAATTGATTGTGGAAGTTGTTTATACATTCCATGTAGGAATCTGTTATATGTTGCAAACACTTTCTCTTCTTCTGTTGCTTGTATTTTTAAAAAGACTTTATTGTTTAGAACCATTTTTGATTTACAGAAAAATTGATAATCTAGTACAGAGAGTTCCCATATACCCCATGCCCAGTATCCTCTATTATTATTATTATTAACATTATATTTTATTATTATTATTAACATAATTATTATTATTATTAACATCTTACATTAGTATGGTATTTTTGTTACAAGTAATGAACCAATATTGATACATTATTTAGCCATCATATCTCCTTGGGCTTCTCTTGGCTGTGACAGCTTCTCAGACTTTTCTTGTTTTTGATGACCTTAATAGTTTTGAGGAGTACTGGTCATATTTTGTAGAACGTCAGATATTTGTAGACAAATCCCTCTATTAGATTTGTCTGATGTTTTTCTCATGATTAGACTGGGGTTATGAGTTTTTGGGAGGAATACATAGAAGTAAATTGCCATTTTACTCACATCATTTCGGAAGTACATATTATCAACAGGACTTATCACTGTTGATGTTGACCTTGATCACCTGGCTGAGGTTGTGTTTGTCAGGTTTCTCCACTGTAAAGTTACTCTTTCCCCCTCTTTCCATACTGTCTTCTTTGGAAGGAAGTCACCAGCACAGCTGTGCTTAAGGAGTGGGTAGTTATGTTCCATCCCCTTGAGGGCAGAATAGCTACATAAATTATTTGGAATTCTTCCACCCAGGAGATTTGTTTCTTCTCCCCCCATATATTAATTTATTCAATAATTTGTTTATATCAGTATGGACTCGTGGATATTTATTTTATTTGGGTTATAATCCACTACTACTTTATTTTGTTGCTCAAATTTTTCCCACTTTGGCAATTGGGAGCTCTTTCAGTTGGTTCCTGTGTCCCTTTGACATGCCCCATTAACATGGGTTTGTTTGTTTATTGTTTGTTTTTGAGCATTTCCTCTTTTCTGATACTACAAGATGCTCTAGGCTCATCTTGTGTATTTCTGCCCCAGTCTTAGAATCAGCCATTTCTCCAAGGAGCCATGGTTCCTTTTACTGGAGAATGGCATTAGACACCAAGAGCTAGGCACTGGGTGTGTTTGTTGCTACTAGGGTGATGTTTCTTTTAGGTCTTCTCAGCTGACAGAACAAGGAAATATATTTGTGTACACTAGCCAATATACCCATATTTATAAGAATTTGTATATGTAACGTTCTGTATCTATATTAAGCTAAACATGAGTTGATACTGATGTCTCCAACTCTGCTCCGTTACCACACGGATTATTCTAGCCTCCTCCCTTTGCTTCTCCGTGAATTCGCTCTCCAACAGGGAGGAACCTGGCGCCTACTGTCCTCCATCCATTTAATTAATTGTCCAATGGTATCAGAATTGTCAACCCACACCCCGTGGGAAACAACTGTATTAACTAGGGTAAAGTGCACAACACATGTGATTGAGAAGGACTTGGTGACTAAGCAAGGATGAGGTTAACTTGCAGTTGGTCTGTGGAGATTCCATGCTTAATCAACTCCAGGGGCATCTGGAAGTCTGGTAAAGACCTTTGGCCAAGATGTGGATTAATTATTCTTGCTGTTGGTTTACAAAGGGCTGTTTAAAGTCCAAAACTCTTCTGGGGACACCCTGTAGCAGCATGTCCATGTTATTTCTTTAAAATGTGAACATGGGTGGCACTTGGTTTACATGTTTATCCAGCCTGATTTTAGCTATGTGACCAGCAGGGGTAAGAGACCCCTCGGTAAGCCTGTGCCTTGGCTCCCCAAGACCCAGGTATCACCCATGTTTCAAGAAAGTGCTCACATATGTTTCTGAAATGAAGGATGAGACAGAAACACTTCTTCACGGTACTGATAATGCAATAAAGAGCATGTATATGCTTCGGAGCAGCTTGCTTGCATGATCTCAGCAACACATTCAGTAGCCAGAATAGCTCAAAATTATGACTTTAGGGCCAAAATAACATGATGTTAAATTCTGTGGATTCAAAAACAGGATTTTTAAAGAAATGCAAATGGTTAAACATGGAGGATTTGACTCTTTCCCAATGTTAGATAATTCTTTTCATTCATCAGAGAAAGAAATCTATGGTTTATTTAAAAGACGTGTCCAAAGACTCCAATAGAATAGAAGTACTTTCTAGAACTCAAGGCATCAGGGGGGATTAGAAAGCCACTTATTTCTGGAGCTAGGGGGTGGGGGAAATAGGGAGAGGCTGGCAAAAGGGTACAAACTTTCAGCTATAAGATGAATGAGGTCTGAGGATCTAATGTAGGTCATGGTGACTATAGTTGATAACACTGTATTACATAATTGACATTTGCTAACAGAGTAGAACTTAAATGTTCTCACACACACCCAAAAGATAAATATGTGAGATGATGGGTGTGTTAATTAACTAGGTGGGGGGGAATCCTTTCACAATGAATATGTATATCAAATCACCATGATGTACACTTTAAACAGCTTAAAATTTTATATGTCAATTCTACCTTGATAAAGCTGGAAGAAAAAAAAGAGGTAACCTATTTGTCTTCATCTCTCAGCTTAAGATATTCAGTGTTCCTATTTTTGTGTGTGACAGGCAAAAAAAAAAAAAAAAAAGATCTTGCCGACTCAGATACAATAATACTGAAAGAAAGCTCCACGATTTCTGGCCCACATTTGATTCAAATACCCAGAACTGACTGCCAGAGCTTATTGCCTTTCCAAACAATCCGGAAAGTGAGTTAGGATTTTCTAATTTAAAAGAAATAAAGGATGAGAGGAGAATTCAGATGGACGTGAGACCTGAGGAATGGCTCAAGTCATCCTCCTAGAGGCAGAGATAGACACCGTCAGGGAAGATGACCCTGGAAAAAGGACCTAGTTTGTGTGTTTCTTCACTGCCCCCTGCTGGCCGGTGCTGGAACATTGGTTCCTCCGGTGGCTCTAGAAAGGCCTAATAGGATGCCATATTGTGGCTCTTGGGAGGCAGGGCCTCCTCAAAGCAAGGTGTTGAAGTAGAGGCAGTTGGGTTTGGCTGAGACCCTCCCATCAGGGAAGACCAGGCCTGGGAAGTGGAGGAACAACTTCCCTGGGGCATGTCAGAGTAGGTTCTGGTGCTTCCAAGAGAAGGGATAGGATCTTAGTGGAAGGAAAAGGCAGTGTAATTCGGGAGTCAGACAGGTAGAGCGGCAGTGAGGACCTCATCTGAAGGCTCTAGTCCCTGCAGACAGCCTGACAAGATTGGGGCAGCTGCTGTGTAGAGGAATGCAAGGTGACCAAAACACACTGTTGGGTTTGGAGGTGCTCACAGACCCCTATGAGTGATACACTTGTAAATGAATAATTGTGTCACTAAGTGACAAAGGGGCTAGTTATCTCACCTAGAATCTTAGGAAAGGTCTCCTGGAGATCGTGTCTGAGCTGGTCCTGAGGTGTGAGTAGGAATTCCTCAGGGGATGGGGAAGGGCTTGAAAGGGTTTGGCTGTATGGTAGAACTGTAAGGGGATTATGGAAGGTGAGCTTGGAGAATGAGGCAGGTCTGGGTTATGAATGATTTTTCGTGCACTTTGTTGAGGTGCCATGACCTTCTGTGCACAGCGGAATGCCCTTAAAGGATTTTGAATAGACTTGAAGCACTCTCAAAAACAAAGAACAGGAGATCCAAAACAGACTGTAGCGATCACTTTGTTCTGCTTTTCTTGAAGAATCAGAAGTGTTTACAACCTGGATTGTTTCTGATACATCTGAAAGATGTTCTCATAAACCTGCCATATCTCTTTTCAACAATTTTGTACTTTGCCTTTTTTTTCTGTAAGGAAGTTTCGCCCTAAGCTAACAGTTGCTGCCAATCTTCCTCTTTTTTTTTGCTTGAGGAAGATTAGCTCTGAGCTAACATCCGTGCCAGCCTTCCTCTATTTTGTATGTGGGTTGCCGCCACAGCATGGCTGATGAGCGGTGTAGGTCTGCGCCAGGGATCTGAGCCTGTGAACCCTGGGCTGCCTAAGCCAAGGGCACCAAACTTCACCACTACGCGTGGGGCTGGCTCCTGCACTTTCCTTTTTTTTATGGTGCAGGTAGACGCGAGAGCACTTGGGCTTTTGTGTGAGTGGGAAGGCAAAGAAATTCATCCCAGATTACTCTGAGCCATTTATAGTGACATTGCTCTGACACTGATGGAGATAGACGGAGTTCTTTCAAGATGTGATAGACTCTTCTAAGTGGGTGTGGAAGTAGTAGGCAGGAGGAAACTGGGCTTCCACGGGTAAGATAGCATGCATTCACTAATTCATTCATTGGTTGATGCACTCAGCTCTGCACTGGGGGCTTGGGGGGATGTAAAAGCAGCAGCAAGTCCAGCTCTTATCTGAGGAACCCATATTCTGCTTGGAAATACATGGAAGAAGGAGGCAATGTCAGCAAAGTAAGAGTGCAGTATGGTCTATAGGTAGGTGTTAAGGACTTTTCAGTGGGATACAGAAGATATTTGTGGAATCGGAGATGAGCTTTGCTGTTTTTGAAGTAAGTGATGGACATAAATGGTGGAGTGCAATTGGGGAAAATTCTAGGCCTGAGGTAGGGCCAAGAACAGATGGATGGTCTCATGTAGGAAGCCATTAGGATAAGGACCACAAATCTAGGAACACTGAGACCATGGACAGAGAACATCTGATG